TAAACATCTTTCAGTGAGTCAACAAACCTTGTTCTTGCCCTAATCATTATAACTATGTGCATGTGGTGACAAACAGTTTGAAAGCAGGAAGAAAAAACAGGTGTTTTTCTTTGGTTGGAAACCCCCCCGAAGTAAAATTAGTGTCTATTATTCCACGTCTTCAGATTAAAAAAAAAAAACGTCTTGGTTAGTACTTCAGCAAAACGCCACAAACTATTATTTTAATCATGAGGACTGAAGACATAATTACACTAGTGTATAAGCTGCTATTGTGCTCCCAGTGGCCTAAATCGCCTCTCCTCTTGCCCTGTTAATGGAGGTCAAATACCAGGTAAAGAAGTACAAAAGAAAGAAATAAAGAAAAAAAAAAACAGCGGATGAGAGAAAATAAATCCTTTGCTTAGAGGGTTTAGGGGGTTTTCGATCCTAAGGACTTCTTAAAAATACTACCTCGCAGTGCAGAGGCTCTATCTCATGCCCAATCTCACCCAGATCTGTAGCTTGACCCGCTTGTTGTTCCTGTAGATGGTCTTGACTTTGAAGTCGATGCCCACCGTGCTGACAAACGCTGAAGTGAATGAGTCATCTGCATATCGGAAGAGGAATGAGGTCTTTCCCACGCTGCTGTTGCCGATGATCAGCAGCTTGAACATGTAGTCAAAGTTTTGGTCGGCTGGATCTCTCTGCTCGTGAGCCGCTCCTGGATCTCTGGCTAAAGCCATCTATCAAATGACGACAGACAAAAAGGAGAGGCACATGTGTGATCACTGAGATGGGCTATAAAGCATCTTTCTTTTTTGTTGTTGTTGATAAATGTTGTCTTTTGTGGTTCTTGTATTAAATATTGTTTGCAGCAATTTGTAGTGGTTGTGTGTGTACATTTTGGTTTTCTGTAGTGTCTGTTGTTGATTGCTGTCCCTTAAAATGCCTAAAAAGGGACAAGTTCTGCCAGTTACCTGTGGCTGGTAATCCTACATATACTCACTGACCACTTTATTAGGTATGCCATGCCAACAATGGGTTGGACCAATTTTTGCCTTTAGAATTCCCTTAATTCTTTTTTGCACAGATTCAACAAGGTGCTGGAAATATTTCATCAGAAGATGGGTACACGATGGTCATAAAGGGATAGACGTGGTCGACAACAATACTGAGATAGGCTGTGGTCTTTAAACAATGCTCAGTTGTGACTAAGAGCTCAAAGTGTGCCAAGAAAATATCCCCCACACCATCACAGCACCACCAGCCTGAACTGCTATAAGGTAAGATGGATCCATGCTGATCTTGCAATCGATTTCTGCTGTGACTCATCAGGCCAGGCAACTTTTTTTTTTTTTCCAATCTTCTACTTTCCAATTTTGGCAAACCCGGGTGAACTATACCCTCATTTTTCCTGTTCTTGGCTGACAGGAGTGGCCAATCTAAGTAAACCCTAGACATGGCTGTGCAGTCCCAGTAGATCAGCAGTTTCTGAGATGCTCAGACCAGCTCATCTGGCACCAGCAGTAATGCAACATTTAAAGTCACCTTTCTTCCCAATTGCAATGCATGCCATGCACCGCAGCAGCTCATCTTGATCACGTCTATATGCCTAAACGTACTGAGTTGCCATGCGATTGGTTGATTAGATATTTGCATTAATGAGCAATTGAACAGGTGTACCTTACACCTGTTCAACTGCCACACAAAAATAACACAAGTACAAGAACAACACAGAATAGGTGTGGCTGTAAGGCAGTTAAGGACAATTACATAATTGCAGGCTCAGGGTGCTGCACTGGGTCAACTGCTGGTAAATGCATACATGTACAGGAAGAAACAGGATAGTATCTACTAGTTCCTGTTTTTAATCAGTCACATAACTGCTTGGCTTTAATGCATACAAAAATAATCTAACAGAGTCTGACTTGCCAGTAATCTCAATATATTGCGCAATGATGTCTTATAGCAAAGACAGGAACATGTGACCATGGTAGGGAACGTCGATGCCGATGTCAGACACGTCATCTACACAATCAAATGCCCATTGCAAATAAATTTTAAATAAGGAATTTTTAGACAAAGGCAATGCAGATACATTCCTATAATTGAACATAGTCAAATGTACTGGTTAATCCTTTCAATGTTAGATGATTAGCTAATGTATGAGCTCATGTTAGTTTCTCTTAAATGTTAATATTGGAGGTTTAATGTTTGTTTGAATTAAAAAACAAAAGATGGCAACTGAAAACAAAAAAGGAGGGGGAATACTAAAGTTAAGAATAGCACTGGCTTTCGCAAAATCCAGGATTACCAGTATATCAGCTGTGGTGTCACAGTGATAAATATCAGCTATTTGAGAATTCAGGTTAACACTCAGACGTCTGAAATCCATCCACACTAAGAGCTGAGCAGATGCTGATGTTGGTAAATGGAAGTGTTATTTTAAAAATGGTCCGTCTTCCTCCCTGATTCCTCTTAGCGCTTATCACTGTGCTATGAATCACAGCCAGGGCGTGCTCCTTACTCTTTTTCTTCCCTGGACCGGTCACCTCCTGCTCTCTCCATCCATTTGTCACAAGAACACATGTTAAAAACGTATAGGATCGGTAGAGACTGAGCGGTGGGAAGGGGGCAATAGATTCTCCCCCGCTTGTGTATTTTATCTATCACCCATCTGGTCATTCATTCACCCAGTGACACTACTACTTACATGCACACACAAACACACTCCTTACTCTCATTTATCTTCCTTCTCTCCTCACATATTCATCCATCTATGCATCCCTCCTGTCATCATCCGGCCAGCCAGCTTCCCTCCCACTCTTAACTCTCTCCTTCCTCCATCACTCGGCATCAATCCATCTACATTCATCTATCTACCCCCCCTTCTCCCTCTCTTTCTCCTCCACCCCCACCCCCCTCCTCTTCTCTCAGGGGTTGAGTCCTGCTCCTCCTTGGCTGCTGAGAAGTCTCTGGAGACCAGCTCAGCATTACAGCTTCCAAGATCATAAAAGAGGGGCTGAGCGGCATGCTGCTGTACACACTCAGCAGAACATCAATATCCGCGCATGCGCCTACATCAGCATGAAAGTACCTGGCACACACTGAAGTATGTGTGTGTGTGTGTGTAGGGTCGTGTATTTACTTTAGCTTGGGAAAACATGTCAACTCTCATTAATGCACATTCAATATTTGACTTCAGAGCATCTGACGCCTGGTTTGTAACTGCTTTAGTCAGTCAATGCAGTGCACGAGAGCAGCTGTTTCACGGGACACTTCATTGCCCCACTTGTTGACACCGAATCCAAATATCTGTGTACAAATTAGCCCGATTAACCACGAACAAAGTTCATATTCTGAAGCCACCGATGACACTTGTAGCCTTTAACTAACTAAGAGTCTAAGTTGCCTACACCGCCTTACCATACGGCAGCTCAGCTACAAACCTGATGACATTTAACAGCCCCCGTCTGCCTTTGCATACAACTGTGACTGAATGCAAATTACCTCGGGTGTTGTTTATGGGTCTGTCTCCTCTCTCCCTCCCGAAGTGTTCACACGTCTACCTGAAAGTCGATGAGTGTGTGCTGGCTGCTGCAGCTGTTGCTGTCTGTCGGGCTCTCCTGCTCAGGTGTTCCTGTCCCGGATCTCCACACTATGCATGTGCATATCTATCACTGGGACGTCCAACACGCAACTTGTCAAGTCATGCCCAATATGAATCACGCACTTCCGGTATAAACTTTCAAAATAAACATTACAAAAGAAAGCTGACGTTTTAGGGTAACATACATCTGAGTGCAAATTTCTGGCAGTTGGGTGTATTTGTTTCCAGGAGTTTTCAGACAAAGTTGGCTCACCCTCTGCATTTCTATGTAAATTAATAAAGGATAACAATTTGTTCATCGCGGGGTTTTATATAGTAGGCAATCTGCACCCACTGATGGCAACCGAAGGAAACTAATAAATAAGTTGAGGGAGAGCTGAAGGTGTTGAGAAAATCTTCGAACTCCATTTCATAATGAGCTGAGCAGTGTAGCTAAGCAACAAGCCGTGCTCCTTGATACCGGTACTGTTTTCTCATTACTTGGCCATCTTGTGCAAAGAAAAAAAAGACGAAGAGATTTTTCAAACTCGGTAAACACGAAGGAATCATTTTGAGTCAAATGCAACTGAAACATTCAAAATCAAGCGAACATTTATTCAAATAATTAAAGAAATTAAGGAAATCGTGAAGGAAAATGGGCTTGGTATACCATTCAAGTAAATTTCATTTAATCAGGTTCCATTAAACCTAAACTTTTACATTGCACTTATATAACGCATTACACGAAAAATTTACATGTAATTAAAATAGTTAAAAGCAGAATTTGGGGCACAATTATTTTACTTTTTCTTTTGAGTGTACGATCAGTTCTCGATGGTCAAAAAACGAGTTTATACTGGTTTATTTTGAAGGTTATTGCTAAATTTCCGGTATTCTGTTGCCTCACCTGCTGGTGGACGCACTTTCAATACTAAGCCTTCCGATAAAACAAACAGAAAGTAAAAAATAAAAAAACTAGAAAAACAAATAAACAAAATTCCCAGGGCAGCTAAATAATGTGTTGACTTGTGCAACAGTTAGGCATCCAAATCTCATGAGCTCCCAGGTTTACTGGACACCGACACGGTAAATAAAATTGTCTGATTTTGTGGAGCTACCAGCTGTGGCGAACCCTTGTGTGAATAAAGGAAAAGTAGCTTTTTCTCTTACCATTTACAAAACTGCACTTCAAAATATAACCTTCTAAAACACTTCAAGTGTTAGGTCACACAAACCAGCTGTGGTCTTTATTTACATGCATCAGCCTGACTATGAGCAAGTAGTCATGCACACCAGGGCACATTAATCATGTCCCGACCCGATTATCTTCACTCGTTGGGAAATCTCAAGTGATATTACTGCTACAAAACGCTTCAGGTGAAATGAAATGAAGTGAATCATGTCAGAAAGGAAGAACCCTACACCTACAGGATCATTTTTACAACAAACAAAGACTTTTATTCAGGTTTTATTGGCGTTTGCCTGCAATAACAAACTATAATAAACAACTCTTATTTACGCTATAAACAAAGAACTGTATGTAGATTTGACAAAGGACATTAAACACAATCTATATTATAGATTTTCTCTTTACTTCCATGGAATGAACCACCTATTAATATTATTGTTTAAATGAGAAACGACGTCAGCTTGATAATCTAAGATCCTAAAAAAGCTAATTTTATTAATAACTTTTGTCAACCTGTGACAAAACCTATAAAAACAACACTGAATATATAAAGTAGAATAACAAACGAAAAACAAGTATTCAGATCCTAAAACAGAGGAATACACACAAAGAAAAAACATTGTAGAACCTAAATGCGTTAATGTTGCAGGGTTGTGAAAAGCAGTGGAACAACAGCAGGCCAGTCAAGCAGTTAGCACCTCAAAGGCTTTGTTTTCATCTAAAACCACAAAACCTTTAACTTCACACTTAGCCAGCTAAATCACATAACAGTGTTATGAGTCATAAGCATAAAAAAATCTAACTTTTAATACTTCTGTTATCTACACACAGTAATGCTGTTACATTAACATGAATGAAGTCTCTCGAAACCTAAACATAGCCTCTGGAAAAAAAAGAAAAGGCCACTTTTTTTTTTGAATCCTCACTCAGTATTCATCATAGCTAATCAGTCAATGAACTGAGGTACTGGGCCGAATCATTGAGCCCCCATAGCCTGCAGAACTCCTTGACGAAAGGCTGAACCAGGTCGGGCTCCTCGGTGATGATGATGTTCTCCATGTTGCTCTGCACTGCTGTCAGCGTCCAGTTGAGGGAGCCGGTGATGAGCGTGCGGCCATCCACCACTGCAAACTTGTGATGCATGTGGACGGCGCTCACATCGCACCGCACGCAGATCCCTAGGGAGCAGAGGGTGGATAGGCAGGAGGAAGGAAGGGAAACTCTTTAATGCCTTACAGTATACAGCGCTTGTTTCCCTTCATCTACTTACTGTGAAATTCTGCACAAAAATTCAATGCGCCTCAAAAGGGAAAATGGTGGTTTTTAAAAGTACAGTATGTATGTAACGATCTCTTTAGTGCTACACCTTTAAAGATTGAAAGACTGTTACATATGTGTTTCTAAATGGATGGTGTGGAAAACTGAGGACCCAGAGGACCTGTAAAATACAAAGGTATTGTAAGCAGACGAAATGTAACCGCATTAAAACCTGCGCGCTTTGACCACATATAGGATTACCTAACACCACATCAGCCTCTCATGAAATATTTAGGACACTCACTACTTATTTCCATTATGGTTACCTTTTCTTGGAATATAAAAAAATATATATACAGTCTTTGCATGTTATATATATATCTGTATATTTTTTGTAAATGTGACTGTTATGTGCATCTGAAAGTCTAACATTAACTCATATGCACTGCAACACAGTGAACTTGTGGGTTTTAAACAGGCAATATAAAGTAAAAAATGTAAAACATTCTGATCTAAACTACAGCACTGAGACCGAGTTTTTTTAATGCATTAAGTGTTTCTCTGTTCTTCAGTTGTTTTGTACGGAAATGATCATAAGGAGGATGTTGGATCTCAGTATGCATTACCCGGCAGACTGCTAATTTTTAGATTGGCCTGCAGATTACTCTCACAGATTAGTCATGCAAATCTTCTCTTGAATTTGGCAAGTGCATGCCTCTTAAAAAAACCCACATTACCAGAAATGGCTTTTTAGCAAACCGAAGAAAGACAAGATCTTTTTCAGAATCTGTTTTATCATCCTTGTTAAAATGTTTAACAAATGAACTCTTGACTATCTTAAGTGATGATAACCTTTACCCCTGTGCTTTATTTATGTACAGCGGTTCAAGAAGCTCCACAAGATAATGATGAAATATAATAAGAAGAAAAGAGACGTTGACTGTTCTTTGTGCCAAAGTGGTTTTCGTGTGATTTGCAGTCAATACACACATGCACACAAAAACACACACACTTTCTCTCTGAAGAGACACACTTTGCTGTCTGGCTGCCAGTTTTGCACTTACTTAATTCTTACTTAAAGCTTCTGTCTTGCAAAAAAAATAAAAAAAAATAAAAAGGGTTACATTGTATTAAAGTTGAGTGTCTCATTAAAGAACCACAAAGATCTCCAGTGCCCTGCAGTTGGAAAATAAAATACACTGGTGAAGATGGTGTCATTTTCACCGGTGGATGTACAGCTAATATAATAGTTCAAAGAGTATGAGCGAGAGTGCATAAGGGACAGAAACAGAAGAAAAGGGACAGACTCAATCAAATATAGGTGTGATATATAGTTAGTTAGCTAAGTGCAAAAAGCTGCAAAGACGGCTCAGACTTATTAGGGCAGACAAATCAAAAATGGAAAGGTTTTGCTGATTGGTTTTTGGAAATAATTGTGTGTGTGGGTGTGTGTGTGTGTGTGTGTGTGTGTGTGTGTGTGTGTGTGTGTGTGGGGGGGGGGGGGTTCTAGCTTACTGACGACAGGACCCAAAGTTCAGCAGTAAAAGGGATATTGTTGATCTATGTTTCCAGAGGCTGATATATGGTTGGAGTAATCTATTAAATGCAGAGAGGGCTGCAGAGAAAGTGAGACAGCATGAGTCAGACACGTGACACAAAATCTTTCAGAGAATGATTAGTCTGACTCATAGGAGGGCTTGTAGCGGCAACCTCCATTCACACAGACAGCTCCTTTTATCTCTCTCTAATCACAACTAAGGAACCCAGTGATAGTAACAATGACACTTAAAGTCAAAGAACATAAACTGAGCAGCATTTCTTGAGCAGGACCTGAGTCATCCTTCTCGTATCTATAATAATGATCTCAGAGGTTAGTGTGACTGTTTTTTTTAACCAATAACACCACCCAAAGGACTACATACAGTATGTCTCAGTGGCCTGTGTGAGATTTATGAGACACTTTGCAACAATAGCACCCTGAGTCACACACTGACTCAAGTTACAATATATATGTATGCTTCCAAAACATTTCATATATATATATATATAAAAAAAAAATCTCCTCCCTTACCGGCTTTGCGGAGGACGCCGATCTGGGAGCCACTGATGGCCGAGTAGACCTTGTCAGTGAGGACTCGGATGGTTACGCCCCTGCTATGCAGCAGTAGTACAGCCCTACTCAGATCCATGTTGGAAAAAGAAAAAAGACACAAGTCCAGAGAAGAGCAAGCAGACAGGATGTAGCGGAGAAGACGAGAGAAAGAGGTGTCTACACCATGAGGCAATGAGCAGACATGGGAGCTGGAAGAGCAGAAAACAAAAGATCACCTGTCATAATTCATGACCACTTAAGTAAAGTTTAGCTTTCAGGGTTCATTTCATGTGAAAAAAATACTTGAGTAGTTGAAAAATGATTTTAAAAAGAGGTGAAGTTAATAGACATTGTAACATCTTTGGCAGCGATATAGGAAAACAATAATTACTTCAAGTTTCACTGATGTTCCACTTACTGAGGTAACGTGGGAGAGAAGATGTGCTCCACACAAGCCACCTCTGAGGGGAAGAAGAGGACCTTATTGGTGATTCGTTCAGATCGGCGACGACTGAAGAGCCAAAAGAGCAGCTCCAGACTGAGGGAGAGGGCCACCACTCCCAGGCTGACCACCTTTACTGTCCACATTGCTACCATGTAAAGAAAATAACTTTAAGAATCAAATGTGTAGCATAATGAAAACATCCTTGTCCTCATGCATGATCATAACGTGTTTTAATGTAGATTCTTTAACAGATAGAAAACAGAAAACAAGCTGAATTGTGGAGGACTCCAGCTTATCAGTTCTGAGGATTCACGCCCTTATAAACAACCTTTTCTTATTTTCTCGTCTCACCCTTCATTAGATCAGTAGTGCAATGTTTGTAGCTCCACAATGTTTTTTTTGTTTTTTTTAAATACAGAACATCTTCAACTCTGTAGGAAACCTCTATGAACGCTGTTAAAATAACGCACCACAAATCATACATTTAACACATGTAGCTTGAACACAAAGGCTTGTTCATATTTGCCAAAGAGATCTTGATTATCTCAAAGACTTTTGGGAAAATGTTCTGTATGAGACAACAGTTTGGGTCCTGTTACATCTGATGTAAATATAACACAGCAGTTCATTAAAAATAACATCATACCTACAGTCAAACATGGTGGTGGTAGAGTGGTGGTTTGAGTTGCTTTGGTGCTTCAGGATTTAGATGACTTGCAGTAATTGATTGAACCATTAATTCTCCTCTTTACCAGAAAATCCTGAAGAAGAATGAACTGGCCATCAGTTCATGCCCTGAAGTTCAATTGCAATTAGGTTATGCAGGAAGACAATGATCTGAAACATATCAGCAAGTCAACCCCCAAAGTCCAGATTTAAAGGAAATCGAGAGGCTTTGACATGACCTTAGACTGTTTATGCTTTAAAACCCTTCAGTTTGGCTGAATTTAGAGCTGGCCAAAATTCCTCTACAGTAAAGTTAAAGTCTCACTGCCAGTTATCTCAAACGCCTCATTGCATTTCTTTGCCTTGTACTTGTGACATGTGCAATGACAATAAAGTTGAATTCGAATTCTAATTCTGATGCCAAGGGTGAAAAAAACAGTTATTAGACTTTGGGGCAATTGCTCTTTTCACACAGGGCCAGGTGGGGTTTAGATAACTACCCACTTTAATAAATTAAATTATAATTTAAAAATGTTATTTTACTATATGCTCTATTGGTTTTATTTGAAAATAAATGATGTACAATATTAACATAAATGTTGCCATTATGATACTTTATATCAGAGTTAGCATAAAGCTAATTTTCACCTCCAGTCACGTGCTAGGTTACATTACAAATAATTATAACAACAATAAAACAAACAATATCTCATAAAGGGTCATTCACAAAACACACACCCACATGCCCATGAGCGCCAAATAAGAAACAACAGGAATTATCTCAGCCTGATTAGAGTACTGCAGTTCTTTTATACCCTTACTCTGGTTATCTTTGTCTAAGAAGTTTAAAAATGATCTGAAACATGTAAGTGTGACAAATATGCCAAACAAACTGTTGTTCACTGCACTTTGTTTTCGGCTTTAACCAGTAGAACGCAAATTAGCTCCCTGAATCGGTTAACCAAGCTGAACTGAGCGAATCAAACCAGCATCTTAACAGTGTTGAGCTACTGTTGCTGACTAGAAATCGAAGCACATTTGACCAATGTTAGCCTTGCGAGATGTGGAGCATGTCAAAACAGCAAAACTGAGGTTTTTATTTTATTTTATATTATTTTATTTCTTTAGAAAACAAAGGCAAACCTGAACAAGCTTCTGTCGCCACCACGTGGGAATAGGCAGCGCCAAGATCTTTGTCGTCACTATCAGGCAGTTAACAGACACGTCAGCTAGCCAATAGCAGGCCACGACGCTCACACTCTTCTCCAATTACGTAACGCGAAGAGTTACGGGTGCTGGAGCCAACGGAAGCCGTTTCCGCAAAACGGTAGCGTGTGTTTTCAACAAGAAAAGGTAAACTATCAATACATAACGTTTACCGGTCATTGTGTGTTTAATATGTGGGGATAGTTGAGGTATAATGAAATAGAATATAGCATTAAGTATTTTTTTCTATCGCGAGACGATTTGTATTGCACGAGAGAGCAACAACAAACATGCTAACGTTAGCCTGTTAACAACAGTGTGGGGCACCAGCAGCAACTAGCAGCTGGTGTTGTTCTTTTAGCAAGTATTCTCACATATATATGGTGCTGTTGGTCCAGTGTGATTTTTGTTTCTTTCACTCAGACTCGATTCCCTTTGTGTAAAATGGGTCGTCGCAAATCCAAAAGAAAGCCTCCTCCAAAGAAGAAGATGACGGGGGATCTGGAAACTCAGTTCACATGTCCTTTCTGCAACCACGAGAAGTCATGTGATGTCAAAATGTATAGTGCCCACCTAAACACACCTGGTCTATGGTTCGTAGGTAGATTTCTTAGGTGATTGGTGGTCTCTGACGCTTCTTCTCGCTTTGTCTTTCAACAGGGAGAGAAGCAGAAACACTGGGATAATATCATGTACAGTCTGCTTGGAGGAGTTCCAGACCCCCATTACCTGTATCCTTATTTAGGTGGCAGCTCTCTTTCTCATATAGCAGCAAAGCAAATATAAGGCAGAGCAGTTTCTTGTTATTTTATTATCTTTGCACATTTAAATTAATTTTTTATATGAGGAAAAGTAGTTTGACAAAATAAAATATTAGCTCATACATTATTCAGGGGTTAAAGAAGTTCATAGGGATGTACTATAAAACCAGTTTAATGGCTTGTTGAGCTATGTTGCGCTTAAAGTCAGCGTTTTCTTTGTTACAAAAGTGATCTCGTTTTACCTTGATAAAAACCTATGCTGAACACACAACCTGGTTGAGAGTAGGTTATCTTTAGAGTTTTGGTGTAAAGTTCAATTATTCTTAAAATTGATTTATTCTTCTGCAGGAAATCTACGTCCTAGCTTACGTTGTAACCAGAAACTCATTTTATCCCTGCACTGCAACCATGCACCCCGTCAAAGTAATCGTGGTATGCGTTGATCCGACATTTAGTTGCATTTCTCTGGAGGTGCACATCAAGTTACCTAGAAGGTTGTGGCTTAGTGTTAAAAAGGCACTGAGGCTCAAGCGGTTATTATGTAATTAACTTAATTTAAAGTGTTTGTTTTACCGCTCTGTGCGATTAATCCCAAGATTTGCCGCAGGAATAATCTCCTGACCTTTTCTTTTGTACCGGTCTTGTTCTTTACTATTATATGTTTTATGTTCTTGGTGGATTTTTAGACAGCATTGTATTGTCATTATCTGATAACATCTGTGAAGTGTAGGTGGCACTCACAGGTATCATTTCACGTGGAAGAAAATCCACATGATTTTATGTGAGCGCCCACAGAGCCTGAAGCAGAACACTCTTAATGGAGAAAGTTTATAACGTGCATCACAACAGTGGTTATCTAGGGTTATAGGCTTTGACAAGCACATTAAAGCAAAGAAACTCTGGCTGTATTGAGCTTAATTCGTTGTATACTGCCTCTTTGAATAATATAGAGTGGCATTAGGCTAAAACCTTGGTCATACATATGCAGGTGGTCAGGTTGTTGGTCATTTCTTTCTTTCTTTCTTTGTGAGGCCCTATATGTTTTACTAATAGCTCGTCTTAGGAAACCTGCCTTAAATGTCAACATCAGCATTTGCCTTCATTGCCTCACCACATCACTGAAATGAGACAGTGTCTCTTTCATATACCGTGCATATGACCATAGCTTCTAACTAACTTATCTCAGGTTGACTATGTAGTAAGTCCACCTAAAAACTAACTGGTGCATAACTAAATCAGTATTTGTTTTGGGAAAAAATAATACCGTTATCTTGTTTTCACTTGGCCACAGTAACCACATAGATTAAATCAGATATCTTGAGAGCTTAATTGTAGGTCATATGAGCAATTTAATGATATCAAATGACTGAAATACTTGGTTGTTGACAGCTGGGAGACAAGGTTAAATTATCAGGAAAAAAGAGGTGGTAGGCTGACTTTAAATAAAGGTTATATAATCAAACTATATTGTTATACTTTAAACAACAGCAGCTCACGTCATTTTTCCATCTCCGTGTAGTCTGAGACCAATATGAGGAACTGTTTAATTTTATCAGAGTAATAAAAATGTTGTGGTACAAGCTTAGAAAGGCAGGAGACCTTTGGAAAATGTTAATTCGTTTATTTTACTTCCAATAAATAACCTGGCTTCAGAATGCGATTTGCTCAAACACATTGTAATAACTGGAACTTTGTATTGATTTTTAAAGTTCACCTCATTCTCTGTCTGTGGATGTTTTTATTTTTAAGCAACAGCATCGTTTTTTTATCCTTAATCCATTCTTCCTCAGATCTGTCAGAGCCAGTTGATGTGTATAGTGATTGGATAGACGCCTGTGAAGCAGCCAATCAATAGAACTCATGAAAATGGTTAGAAACAGAGCGCAGTTAAATTCTACCCACACTGAAGAGGAAAACCTTTTTTTTTCTTTTTCTTTTTGCATTGCTTGATGCATGCTTGTCATATGTTCCTGTTCACAAAAAGCTGTCAATTGCCCAATGGCCGCTTTGCAGGTTCTTGAACTCTTTATAAGCTGCCAAACAAAAAACTGAGCTTGAATCAGCAGCAGAAATGGGAGAAAATGTGCAACTACTGATAAATAAAATATCCAAATGTCAAATTTGTGGGTACTCTGTTGCCGACACATACCTAGCATTAACTTTCTAACAGCTAACTAGACATGGATGCTACAATAATTAAACTGATAGTAAAATCTAATCTATTTTAGCTAGCTACAGACATTTTATTGCACATTGTGAGGCCGGCTGTTTTCCTTCTAGCAGGCCTGATTTCAGAGTATGACATGTTGCGCTTTGTCTCTACACCTGTCAGAAAGGTGGTGAAGAGTTCTCCCCTTTCTGTTTAAGGTTTCAGCTCACAACTCTAGTTTTGACTCTTGAGATTTATTACATAATTTGTTCTGTGCAGTGTAGCCTGATTTATCTTTACACATTTAGCAGAGCTGTCTGTTTTAAAAATACAGCTTCTTTTTTGGGTGGGTGGTTGGTTGGGGGACCTTATTGGTGATCATCTAGGTCCATTCTTTTAAAATAAAGTATTTTGCATTGAAAAAATGCTTCCAGGTATTTAGTTTCTAACTGCTAGAGATATCTAAGAGATACAAAGATTATGCAAGCGAACATATTCACATCTTAGCATTTGAATATTTTAATATGAATATTTGTATCATGAAAGAAACTATGAATATGGTGAGTAGGTTGATTTTAAAATGGACAACTCTTGAGTATTATTCCTACAGTTTTTCAAAGTCTGACACAAGCAACTCGATCTAGTTGAAGAGTAAAAATTGTCTTGTTTTTTTAATGATTTATACAGTCTTGGTACAAGGAATCCTGAGCCGGATGTTTGTTCAGTCCAACTGCAGTGCTGGAAAATGTCACTGAAATAGCTAATCATGAGCTTTGTGTGTATGTGTGTGTGTGTGTAATCTATAATGATTACTCAGATTTAAGTATGATGTTACAGATTCTGGTCATAATGCAGTCACTCAGACATCTGTGTCACAGCATTAGGTCATTCCACTCTAGAGAGGAACAAGATGTTCAAGATTCATGCTGAGCTGCTGAGTTCATGAGTTTTGAAATGTTTTTAATCCATTCAGTTTCTGTTTCTGATGTCTTTAGGTTATATGTTCATGAAATAAAATAATTTTAAGATGCACAAATGTTCTTTTAATGGGCATGTATATGCAGTAATGTGCAGTATTTCGATGCCTTGAAGTCAGTAGTTTATGCTCTATGACACTCTCCTACTCAGCCATCTGTTTTGGGTATCATGAATCAGAGCTGTTTTGTTTAATGTTTACTTAATGGATATGTTTGATTTTGATCCTGTGGTAGAGACTTAAGGGTAACCCCATCATTATTACATTTTTTATTACGCTCCACAAATCTGATGAAAATTCCAAATCCAAGCAGTATGTTATGTTTTCTGACTTACCTGTCCTGTTGATCTCACGTCTGCCGTTTAATGGGAAGAAGCAGTTTCGTTTTGCAGAAATACTCTGTAAATTATAGAAACAGCATGCTACTGTAGCTTAGTAAATATTACAAAAAGAAATTCTTGGATTTTCACCCACATGTTCATAAACACTTGGGGTGCTAATAAGTATTTATGGAAGCAAGAATGTGTGTGTGTGTGTGGGCTTGCCTCCAAATACACCACATTGTCCAGATCTTAATGAGAAAAAACACACAACCCTGTTAAAGTCTGGCTTATTAATGTGATTATTTTTTTGTAACATTTTTACGGCAATCGGTGGCTCTACAAAGAGACAGATGACTTAATTAGTTTTTTACTAAGAATTGTTAAAGTAATTAGGCTTGCCACCTTATATATTTTATGTGATATTAAAATATTCCAACAGAATAACAGAAATGTAAAATGATAACCGACATGACTGTGTGTGTGTGTGTGTACAAGCACAATTAGAAGAGATTTGCTTCCTTGAAAGGTTGAATGATTGAAAGATGTTTCCCCACATTGTTAAAAAACATTAAACTTATTTACAAGGCCATCTTATAATTTCAAATTATTATCTTTGAAATAATTTGAAAGGCAGTATTAATTAAAAATGGTACAAAGACAACAGAATGATGAAAATTAAAAATTTTATTTTTTTTGAATTGGACAGCAGCAACATGTTTTGTGTTTTGCACAGTTTCACAGTGGTCGTATACTCGCGTGTTTAATCCACACCGTACATAC